CCCCCCCCCCCCCCCTTTTTTTTTTCCTGCTTTTGGAACAAGCAGTAGGGTGGGGATGAGAAAAGACGCACATAAAATAAATTTTGGTTGAACAAATGAAGCTGCCTGGCTTTCGAGCCTCTCACATTGTGATAGACCCAACTTAAGCTGCTTGACAGGGAGCCAAGGCAAATATTTATATTCCCCTTTATGAGATCCAATTCTTCGCTCCTTCGCTTAAGGCACGAAAGACTTTTGACAGGGGTTAACATGAATTTATAAATTTGCTGTTTTCAGTGAGATTCTTTGTCTTTTGTAGGTTTTGTTTTGTCAGATGTTGATTTAATATTTTGAAAAAAATAGTTTTCTTAGAAAAATTGTGTTTGAGAAATCAATTGTAAGAGCACAACGCGTGATATGTGGGTTTGGCATACATCACATGTTCGAACCCTAACACAGAAAAAAGCCTAGTATTTAAGTGGAGAGGGATAGAGGGGCGGACCCATTATCCACCGATTTTTGAGTCTTGTACCAGCTGGTCCTTGGGGATTTCTTGGTTATCAAAAGAGTATCACTGAAGCTCGGAAACATTTTAGACGCTTTCATATGCGTGTATATGCAAATGAAAAAAAAATGATTTGGCAATTTAATTGGTTTCCTGAAACGATGCATGTGTTTTAATACTTGGCAAATCGGTGTTGGAAGTGTTGTGGCTTAAGTGATGAATTGTAGATCTACAGACATTATTGGAATCCTTCGAAGTGATTTACTGTTGTCTTTCCAATGTCTCTTTATGGCCCAGATATGATAGAGCTAGGGGAGTTGAAATAGGGAACAAGGACATCAAGCTTGAGTACTTGGAAGAGGCGTACACGACTTCTAATTGGATAGTTAGAATTTATAAAGTCAAACCACCCAAGAACAGGTGGTAAACTGGATCTCCTTTCTATCACCACTGCGGGACGAGCTGTAATGAGGATCTCAATTTTTGAAAGCATTAGATAGATATAGATTGCTGCTTTCTTTCATCTTCTATTTTGGGGTGAAAAGTTAAGGCTTCAGTTGCTTGGGATGTTCTTTTTCCAGATTTTGTATTAACTTCTTTTAACTAATATGATCTAGTGTTTTACTTTTGTAAGTCTGTAGTTTCTCTGCAATCTTTCGTGGTTAAAGGAACTTGAGAATAGGATAATGGTAATTCATCTATTTGGTTTACGACATTGAGATTTGGAACTTACTTTGTGACTTCTAATTACCTCGTTAACCATTTTTGTCTCTTCTTTCCAAAATTAAGTGGAAAGGGACAAAATATTATGAAGACATTATTGGTGAGCTGATTTGGAAGTTATACATGACGTTAAGAACGTGTCCGGCAGAAAATATGTCCCAAACCTTTGTTCATTTTCCAAGGAACTATATATCTCCCCCTTATATTGTTGAGCAATTGATATTTCTACCGTCAGTTATTTTCTAACATAACGAGGAAAATGTATCTTATTTTAAAAAAAAGGGAAAGAAAGAAGCAATATATGCTATAATCATTTTTCACATACGGGGAAAAGCTCAATGGGACCAAGCAACTTGGGTAAAATTTACCTGCACTTTGTAATTGTACCAAATCATATTAACTTATTACCGTTGAATGATTTAATGAGGTGAAAATTTATATTAATTGACCATCAGTATGTGATAGAAGTTTATGTTCATATACATATCATGCATCTATGGATTTGCCATAAATATTGAGTATGGGTAAAATTTTACTATAATTTTTCTTCTTTTTCTTTTCCTTCAACTTCACATCACCTAGCTAGTCACATAAACTATGTCACATTCTATCCCGAGTTGGAGAAAGGAAAACTTTATGACTACTTATGTCGGAATATCAAGTGAAGGTCCCATGCTGTATTAAAACCACTTTTTTTGTCACATTTTTAGAGGTTAATAGATTGAGGTAAATGTATGATTGGTTAGTAACTTTTTGTATGATGACTTATTGAACTGAATGGGAGATTGTCTTAACTTTATGTAGCAATAGGTGAGATTTTTCTGACTACAGAAAACACTAGACAGGAGATCAACTTAGGAAAATTAAGTCACAACCGAAATAACATGTACAAAGTTTGTTCTTCTTTATTCACATTTAGTATATAGTATATTATCATCCTCTTGCACTCCAAACAACTAGGGGTCTACAAAGAAAACCAACAAACCACACCAACCCGATAATTCGAGTCAAACCAAGAAAAAAAACCCGACTATAGTTTGGTTTGATTTGGTTTGGTATTGGAAAAAAAAACTCGACCATAATTGGTTTTGTTTAGTTTTAACTAAAGAAAGTCAAATCGAAACCAAACCAACCCGACATTACATATATAATTTTTTTAAATATATTTAGTATATAAATATACTTTTTGTGATGTAATTTATAAATATTTCTTAAAAAATTTCATAATTTATCTTTTAAGGTATTATTTCAAAGTTGGACTTAGAACTTTTGAATATTCCAATAAGTTTTATAGCCATTAATATTAGTAAATTAAATAATGCTAACAAAAGCCCAAACCAAAATCAAATCAATACTAATGCTAATAAAAGACATTCAATTCAATACTACGAATGAAGATGTATTGAATATCTATATTTTGTTTTACAATAATTAAAATAAAAATGCATAACCTATTTTTATTTTTTCTTTAGCGTTTAGTCATGTAATTAATACTCCCTTATTAGTCTACTTATTTTAGCATGACTTAGTACTTTTAGATTATGTTTATTTTTATTATGGCTTTTTAATTAGCAATATTTATATCACATAATTTTATTGTCTTTATTGTTGAATATTTTAGGATAAGCTATGACACATTTCATATTTTGTATTATTTTCTTGAAAAATACTTTATATAGTTGTATCTTACTAGGATTAAAGAAATATTTTGAGCACAAGTTATATGTTTTGTTCTACGAAGATTTTATCGGAAAAAACCCGAAAAACCCGAGAAACCGAGATTGAAAAACTCGAATTTTATTGGTTTGGTTTGATCTTTAGATTTAATAACCCAACACAATTGATTTGGTTTGGTAATTGAAAATTTCGAACCAACCCGACCTATATACACCCCTACAAACAACCATAACTTCAGTTGGTTAGGCAACACGATGGATAACACAATGAACATGAAGTTGTGATAAAGAAGATCCCAACAAAGAGAGGATTGAATGTTTTGGCAAATAAATTTTCAGACTAATTAAAAACTTATCCAATTATCTTATAAATCATGAATTCGAGACAAATACGTTGTCTAAAGTGGGAAGCCGGACAGCAAAAGGATTAAGAAGGTGTCTGGCTAAGCTTATAAGCTGGTCAAACTAGCTTATAAGCACTTTTCGACTTATTTATACGTTTGGTAAAGTTAAAAGTGAGCCAAGTGCTTATAAGTCAAAAATAAGTCAAAAGCCATAAGCTGGTCACCCCCAACTTATGAATTTTTAGCGTATAAGCACTTTAAGTTTGACCAAGATTTTTACTATTTTATCCTTAAAATATTCCTTTTTAGAATAAAACTCATACATCGATACTCACTGCCTCAAGTATTTTTCTACCTAACCCCCTCCCCTCCCCCCTCTTCAAGTATGCAATTCTCATTGACTATGTGAGATAAGCAAATTCTCTATTCCTTTGCATATTTACATATCAAAATTTTGGTGTATTGCTTTCTAAGTGTTGTGGCGATGAAGACAGTGTTTGTTTTTCTTCAAATATTTCGTCCTATTTAGATTTATTTTTTACTGAGAAACGTTTGTCAAATATTAATTATTATAACTTATGGAAATATGCTTATCATAAAATTTATTTTATCTAAGCACAATTGTATTTAAAATAAAATGACAAATAGAATATTTTGTATTTGAATCGATCTGGAATCTAAAATTTTGAAAAAATTACGCCCTTATTAGTGTAAACAGTCTAAGGTTATTTAAGTTATTTTAATAGAAAAATATCTTATCAACACATTTTTATCAAGTACTACAACAACTTATTATCAATTGCAACACTTGCACCCAAACACGTAACTGCTTATTTATTAAATCAGTTTCAGCACTTAAAAGTGCTTTTCAGCACCTAATGCTTATCAGCTACTTCAAATCAGCTAATCCAGACGGGCTCTAAACATATTCTTGTTTGGTTTGATTAATACTGCAGATAACGACCATCAATCACTACACAAATCTCTTGCTTTCTTTCTTCTAAGTTACAGCTATTGGTTTGATTAAAACTGCAGATAACGACAGAATTTGTCATCCCTTGAGTAGTTGAGTTCCATAAAAAACTAGTGCTACTATATCTCCACGGCACAATAGCTACCTCTGACCCATAACTTCTAGAGTATTTAGAGTAACTTTGAGGTTTGAACGTCCTACATGTATTCTTAATCCTCAACTGAAATAGCTACCTCTAATAGCAAAAAGTTCTTGTTCTTGCCAATCTACCATACTGAGTCGGGTAATTTTTGGAGAAGCAAAATCAGATAATTTATCTACTAATCTACAATCAGTTGGACTGCCAGAACGGCAAGCCTGCTGCTATGGTAAAACGTGAAACAAAAATAATGTACTACTAGTAAGACAAAGAAAGTCGTCTCATAACTACAGCCTAAAATGAATCACAAACTATACATCATAACTTCTGAAAATTTGTTTGGAAATTGGAGGAGGTTTTAGTTAAATTCAACCATAAGCTAATCATGCTCTATCAGGAAAGGCATGATACTGCATAACAACAAAAATATTGACATGACTGCTAAATAGCCTCCTCAGCACAAATTTGAAACAGGATAAGGACAAAATAAACGACTGTCACCTAAGTAACCTCAGCCAGGAACTACAATGATACACATTGCTGATTCACAACGCAGAACATGCAAACACTCCCATATATAGTCATGTAGAAAACTTAATGAAATCAGTAACTGCAAAAGAGATGTGGAAAGTGACGATTTACACTTGCATTTTCACCAAACCTCCCCTCTCTCCCTGCACTCCTGCTTTTTGAGAAGGGGACTCATCTCTTCAATCCTGTTTTTGTAAGAACTAAGTCAACATGACATGAGAAAGCTGCTTATAAGAGTAAGAACCTGGTAAAAACAACCGTATACGTGCTTTAGGACAAAATTGGATTAGAACTTGTCCGTAGTACATCTAAATATTATGATTTGAAGGTCTAAAATAACATGATGTCAAACAACTGAAATTGATCCTGAGCCACGCTACAGAATAATCCATGAATCAGAGCAAATCGAAATGCAGTTACACTATTCTAATGAATGAACAATACACAGCATAGAACAAAAATAACATCAATACGAGACCCTTTGAGAGACTTTATTCTAGAGGCAGCATGAGAGATGGGAGCAAAGAGACACACACCCCCTACCTCTTGAAAAACAAGCTAACAAAAATAGCAAAAATAATCATCACAAAGTAAAGGCACCAAATCATAAAGACATGGAATGAAAAATGTCAGCCAAGTGAAGCGTTGAATAACATGCTTGACTCAACAGACACATTTTATTCAGTAGGACATCTGTCCTAGACCCTAGTCTCATTACCTCCTTTAGCGAGGACATAAGGTACTGAAAAGGAATAGATCATTCTTGAATTTAGATGTTTATTACTATACTCGTTTAAACATGTAATAGTAATACAGTGAAAAACGTTTTTCACAGGTTTCACTATAAATAGGTACAGAATGCTTTTAACAAGGACCTAGCAACTAAGATAGATACTATATACAAGCTGAAGACTAAGAAAAAGTTCAGTTGGCCTGCTAAGAATTAAACCAAATTAACACATGAATCCATACCCTCCTTGTTAACAACTTGTCATTCCTGTTTCCTTCCGTTTACAAGAGAATGGATCCATCATCATAGGGAGCCAGCTATACGTAAGACAATGGATCCATCATCATAGGGAGCCAGCTATATGTAGATTATGTCAACAGAAGCAGCAGGGATTTTGAGAGTGATAGAGGTAAGCCAGGAGCTTACTTTGAGTGAAAATTATCCAAAATAAACTAGAAAGCGTGTTTGTTGGCATTTCACCTCTCAAAGATACAAAACGATAAGGTGCTAAAGACGAACCAAACTGATATTCAAGGTAGTGGTTTGAAATGTGAAAGGCCTTGTTTTACCACAGTTACATCTTAACACCCTCCTGAAAACATAGATATTCTTGTTATTGACCGTCTATTTTTCTCTTTTTGAGACCTTGTGTCATATGTAATGTGCACGATCCCAATCAGTTCGTATACACCAAACAACAGCAAATTAACTAACTGAATAAAACACAGACTCCGAGGCTAACTTAAAACAAATGATCAACAACTCAAACAATCAAAAACATTATTTCCCGAAATTCCCATATATTACAAGGATGGGGCTCCTGTAATTCTCAGATACTAGCATACACAAAACTTAATGTAACAAATATGGACATACAACCTCATAACTCTGTAATTAATCGAGATCCTCCTGCCGTGCTTGCCCTCCAGAACCTGGATTTGACTCCCCACCACGAGAATTGTTGCTCGTATGGTTGTTGTCGTTGTTTCTATTGTTAGTATCATTGCCGCTCGCTCCTCCACTATTGCTCGTCTCAGCAGGTGATCCAAGTCCCCTGAAAAGCCATTGTAATGGTATCCTAAGCCTGCCCTCAACTGTCCTAGGTGTCTGAGAATTCTCCTGATTCCCCCCACCACCTTCTGAACCCCCAAATATCCAACCAGTATTATTGTTGTTGTTTGTATTGTTATTGTTACTATTATTGGCATTCGAATTTGCATTCTGCTGTTGTGATGTTCTCCTATTCTCGTAATCAGGATCATCGGTGGGCAATTCATAGCGACAAACAGGGCAAGAATTATGCAACTCCAGCCATGGCAATATACAGTCCTTGTGGTATATATGTTTGCAAGGCATCTGCTTTGCATCCTCACCGAGTTCAAAAGTATCTTTACAAACAGCACATTGAGATGAATCCGAATCCAACAATTCCACTGTGATCTTAATATCCGGAAGCCCAGCAACAGCCGATTTCGCAGCTGGAGGTGCCCCGTAACGATTTGGATCATTCTCCGCAAGCTGTTGGATCAATTGCTCCAGCCCAGGCCCATGGAAATAGTCACCGAAATTCCCCGGAAACCTAAACTCACCACCACCGCTACCGCCAGGATGGTTCTCGAAGACTAACTGAATATTAGCACCACCGGCCCTCATAGTACTCATATAGTTGTTGAGGAAAGCGAAAGGATCGAATTGATTGGGGGATCGACTGGGGAAGGCGGCACCGCCGGCACCACCAGCGATACTGCTCAATAGCGCGGAGAGATCATCGAAAGCGACGGCACCGCCGGCAGGGGAAGCGGCACTGGAGGAGAAAACAATCGGAAAGCCACCGCCGCCGAAGGGGAGGTCATCGGTAGTGGCGGCGGAGAAGAAGGGAAAATTATCGGGATTATTAGGGTTAGAAGGTGGTGGAGCGGTTTCGGATTCTTCTAGAAACGTACCATTGCAATTAGGGCATGTGAGTTCGGAGTTTGGCGATGGCGTAATGGTAACTGTCTGTTCACATTGGTAGCAGTGATAATTCTGCGGTTGATTGCCGGTAGCACCGCCTCCTCCTCCACCGCTACCAAAAGTTCCGGGCGACGACATTTTTTTGTCTATATAAGGATTCTCCGTATGGAGAAAGAGAGAAGAAAGAAGAAACTAAGGGAAACCGAAATTTAGAGAGAGAAGAAGAGAAAATCGATGTGAGAGAGAGAAGTTAGGGGAATTTGAGAAATGGATGAAAAGAGGGGCGCGTGAAATTGCAATTGCGAGTATAAATAGCTGATGGGCTTATTGAGTACTCGCCTTTGGATAGGTGGATATTTTCGTGTGGGGTCGCTGATAAGGGAGACTACAACTTCCGAGTCCCAGGTGAGTTGCTGTATAAGAATGTTCACAGGTCTAATATACATACACGTGGCATCTAGTTAGGCGAAATTGTAAATGATTTGTTTAATTTAATTAATTAAGGTCCCTCCAGTTCAGGCAAGTGTCCTTTTATCAAAATGTTATTACCTACAAATGAAATGGTCCATCATCTATATATTTCCTTCAAATCGTCTCAAACCAACCACTAGTTAAACTAAGAGGAGTGCAACAAGATGAAGTTTTTGTTTTAATTGAATCAAGTCTGTTTGAAGTTTAAAAAAATGAAGCTGAGAAATTTTAGTAGAAAAATAGAAAGGAAATGGTAAGTTTTTTCAATTGAAATAAGGAGGAAGCTTTTCATATACACAGAGTTGGAAAATAGAGAAATTAATCATAGTGCATGAAAATGACCCCAAGAACCAAGAGGTTGGCATGTTGGATGAGTAAGCATTGGTTTCTAAGCCAAGTTGCAGAATTCACGTGAATTCCTAATTCTGGTATCAAAAAAGAGTGAAAAAGAACTCAGTCTAGATTGCATTCATTAACAATATAAGATTACAACAGTCCATATTTTCATTTAAAGCCAACTAGAGCCAGGCACTTTCTTGACATCCCTACTTTGCATCAGTTCCCTCAAAGTTCCAACACCATCCCAGTTCTGCAGACCAGCAAATGTGTTGGACAATAACACATAGATTGAAGGATCAACTCTGTCGACTTGTAATGCTCGTTCTGCTGCTCGTTTTGCAGCTTCCATATCCCCATGAAGCCGAGATGCTCCAAGCAAGGTTTGCCAGACCAACAAACCTGGTTGAAATGGCATGCTTAAGATTAATTCCTCAGCTTCTCTAATGCGGCCAGCACGTCCGAGGAGGTTAACCATACAAGCGTAGTGATCTTCTCCAGGGAGAATACCATAATCATGACTCATTGAAGTGAAATACTTCCATCCCTCATCAATAAGTCCTCCTTGGCTGCAAGCATAAAGCACACATATGAAGGTAATATAGTTAGGCTCTGCCCCTTCCTCCCTCATCTGATCGAAAGTTTCAAGAGCTTTTTTGGGATATCCATTTTGCGCATAACCCATAATCATAGTGGTCCATGAAACAGTAGTGTGTTCACCCATTGATCGAAAAACCAAGAATGCACCATCCATGCAACCACATTTCGCGTACATGTCAAGCATTGCATTATCTACACAGACATCAATGTCATCCCCAAGTTTGATCCTCAATCCATGAACTTTCTCCCCTTCCTTGAAAGAGACTGTATTGGCACATGCACTAAAAGCAGTCGCTAGAGTAAACTTATTAGGCATCACTCCTGCCCTTCTCATTTCTCCAATGACCCTGAGAGCTTCAATTGGTTCGTCACAGTTCAAACACCCTGCTGCCATTTGCGTCCAGGAACAAACGTCTTTTAGAGGGATCTCCTCGAATGCTTTGAAACCCTCAGCCAAGCTTCGATTTTTCAAATACATATCCACCAAAGAGTTCCCTACACATATCTCACTTCCATGACCACACTTAACCAGCTGGGCGTGAACTTGCACACCCAATTCAAAATCCAAAAGCTCTGCCAACCCAGTAAGAACACTAGCAAAACTGAAGTTATCTGGTACAACTCCTTCATGAATCATCTTGTACCAAAGTCTTGGCACCTCTGAGCAACAAGATTGCATGCAACCACCGATCATTGCATTCCAAGTCACAATATCTTTATTAGAACACCACTCAAAAACCTTTAGTGCTTCACCTAATCTACCGTGCCTTATCAGAGCTGTCAGAAAAGCATTCGCTAAGTAAACATTAGATTCAAACCCAAGTCTTGTGATTAGTCCATAAACTTGGTATGCATGAGTTAAGTTTAATCTATCCTCAAACGAGCAAGCGTGGAGGGCGCTCACAAAAGTGAACTCATTAGGCTTCGTCCCACTCTGGTGCATACGGGTAAACAAAGAGAATGCTTCGACAGGGAAGCCCTTTTGCACAAAGCCAGCAATGAGGGCAGTCCAAGACACCACATTTTTGTGAGGCATTTCATCAAACAGTTTGAGTCCGTTGCCCGTGTCACCACATTTCACATAAGCATTTAGAAGATGGTTTTGTAAGTATAGCGAAGACATGCTGCCTGAGTTTTTCAGTAGTTTCGCGTGTATGGCTTTAGCGTTATCCAATTTTGAAGTCTCCACACATTGACGCAATATATTTGAATATTTGCTCTCCTCCTCCTCCTCCTGGTTCTTGTCCCATGTGAATGACATAGTGACAAGATTTCTGTAGCTTTTCTTTGATGTGAATGTGGAGAAAGACGGTTCATTATTAAGGATACTAATTCGAGTTTCACGTAAACTTGTGAGCTTTCTGAGTTTAGAAATAAGCATATGCGCTTTTTTGTGTTCATATAGCTTCTTCAGAAATATGTCGTTCTTTGGATGCAAAAAGTAACAAATGTTTCTGCACCCCTGTTTGGACTTTTAGGTGAAGTTGAACTGAAACATCAATGTGTAAAATAGAGCTTTGTAATAACAAGAGAGTAGAACCTTATCTATAGAATTCCGCCAAAGATTCAATCATAAGGAAAAAAATAAGAAATATATTTAGTTGCAATATGCCTGATATCTATTAAAGCTGGACATCAGACAGGTCATTAATATAGAATACCAACTCAGATAGTATTATAATTGAATAGTCCCTGTTTAATCTCTATGTCTCAACATCATTTTATGCTTAATGTTTAACTCAGAATCTGCATGTTTTCTTGATGGCACTCTTTTTAAGCATATTAAACAGGTCTCGATTAAATTGAGAAAAGGATAGCCAAATATAAGTACGAGATGTTAGTCCTGCATTATTATGTAAAATTAGATCAAGAGAGAAACAAGAAACATATTTCGCAGCAATATGCCTCGGATCTACTAAAGCTTGACATCACTTCATCAGTTTAGAATACAAACTAAAGTCTTGACTCACAATTCAAATCCTTTTCACAGCAAGAGACCATGCTAGCTCCTATCATTTTCAAGAAGTTGTAACAAGAATCAGATCAAGCTTTCCTTTCACATATTATACCATTGGAAAAGAAAAAGGAAGGCAACAGAGTTAAGCATACAAAAGAGCACTTGCAATAGAAAAAACAAAACATGCTTAATTTGTTTCTTAGTAACTCAGAATCAGTCATGTTTTCATCTCTACATTCACCAAGGACTACCAGAATATACATTGAAACTTGATGTCATTGCTCGGATTAGTAACCTAAGATAAAGTTACTTTGTGACTTTCCTGTTTAATGTCTATGTCTCACCATCAAATGCACTTCCATAAGAAAACTGCATAACTAAAGTCTTTCTAAACATGCTTGCTGTGAGGATATAACAAAAACTAATGCATATCCCAAGGAATGGGATATTCAGAAAGAGCACTTCATCTATTATCGGTAACGGCTTATGTATATTGCTAAACCAAGGACTAAAAGGAGAAAAGAGTGACTGTTTCTATGACTGACCGAGCGGAACTAAGCTCATGGTATATGGAACCACTGTGGCAACAAAAAAAGGCTTTGGCGCGAGAGCAGAAAGGCTACAGAGGTGTCTCATCTTCCTTGTCTCAAAGTGATACAAATAGATATTAACTGAAACCCTCATAAGCAAGATGTTATCCTTGAAAGCCAGAGTCCCAATCCATGGGATATCATCAGTATTGAAGTTACTTGCCAACTTTTCAGCTATCTTGAACAGATACTTGTTGTTTTCATTTTCCAGTTCTTCTAAAGAGATTGTATAAGTAAGATCCCATTGAGACGTAAAACGATCCTCAAGCACCCACAACTGAAGTCCATGCTCACAAATCAACACGTAATGCAGCCTCCCTTCAACTTCTCCCAAGCACATCTCGGGTTTTAAATTGAACTGGTTTCTAGGGAGTGGTATGCTTATCAACCAAGATATCTCATTTTCTGGATCAAACATGAGGATTTGGTCTCCATCAGTAAGCCAATATATAATCCCCTTTACACAAATGCATCCCTTTTTCAACATGTTGTGATTGCAATAACAAATCTCTCCTGATCTTCTCCATAATCCTGTTTCTGATGAATAAATGTTGAAAGAGAAATATCCATATCTATCCCCTTCTGTACTAGTTTCATCTTGATGACTAACTATCACAACCTGGAATTTTGTGAACTCATTAATCGGTTTCTTTAATGGTTCAAAAACCAAGGCTATGCTGCTTTCTCTAGACGAATTTGGCCACTGAATTGCTTTCCATTCCTTATTCACAGGGTTACAGATGTAGATTAGGGGAACGTTACAAGGAAAGATACTTCGACAACAGACAAGTCCATATCTTGAATCGAGGATGACAACATTTTCTGGTAGGAAATCAAGAACATCATTATGGACTTCTTCAGTGGCAACTGATCCTGATATAGGCATGTAGCTGATCCAGTCATAATCTTCATCACACCACTGGTACCTACCTTGGTAGAAGAAACCAGAGGGGGGTTCCATATTTTTCAACTGAACTTGGATGAAACTGCGGTCAGATATAAGACATTGCCATTCCTTTGACACGCATTTCAGTTTCAGCAAATCCTTAGTAGACAATTTAGGTAGTACTTCAAACAGCATATCATTGCTTGGAGACCAAAGTTCCTTCTTCATTTTCACGACGTCCCAGAGATAATTCGATTAACACAGGACAACAAACTCTTTAATAATCCTCTAAATGTGTGAATATATATTCAGGTCTTAACCCCTATTTTAACCATGAAGACCCACAAAACAGTGAGAAGAATTAACCTCACTCTGCCCAAAATTCAAACTAGAGGTAGACTAAACGCATTGTTTAACAAAATTTAAGGGCAGTACAACAGAGATACAAAAAGAGCTACTGCTATATAATAAGTGGATAAACATGTGCAATAAATATTAGAGATATGATCAACGGTGAAATATGCAAAAGTTGTATTCATCATAAAATATCATGCACAAGACTGCTCTTTTTTCTCAGTTTCATGTTCTTTTTTTTAATTTTAAATGGAAACTAAAGATTGATAGCTTTGTAGAAGAAAGGCAATTTCTTTTAACCCATAATGAACGAAAGATAGCAAACTCCATGCCATACCTCCCCACCCCCTAAATCGCACTGCTTATAAAGGACGAAAAAAATTATATCTGAAGCAACAAGCTGAAAAAGGTAAAGATGAACCAAGTAAACAACAGCAGAAATTGGAAATTAGAAGTAGGAAAAAAACACTGTATTCTTTATTTGGAAGCAGGCGTGTATGTAACTGGTGATAAAATTTTAATCTTCAACAACCAACTATAGATTTCTTATATTTTCCTTTTGAACAAGTTTCTTATTCATTTTTCAGCTACAACCAACAGCATTTGCCAGAGCTAAATGGATTTGCATTAGAAATATAGGACTAGAAACAGACCTTGTATTCCCGAGAAAGCTTTGAGAAATCTTCAGAATGAAAACATAATAGCCATCACAAAACCAACCAACCTTTCATTTTCTCAGCTTATGATCTTCTCTCTGTTTCTTTGTGTGCAAGTGGCTTGCTTTTCACTTTTACATGCAAAAAACAAAATTGTTGCTCAGTACTCTGGCACTGGAAATATGGTAGTGGCAAAGTGGGAGTGCAGTTTTGGCTGCGTGACAGAGTCTGCACACCCTTCAAATGCTGCAACGGAACTTGTACAAATTATGACTGGGGTCAGGACGTCCCACTGCTTACACGTGTCCTCCCATTATGCTGACCTCCATTTCTTAATTTTCCTCCACTCTTTTTATCTACATATTCTTTGGTTTTGTCATATGCACTCCATCTAAATAATTTGTTTTATTATTATAAGGTGATTTAAAAATCAAACTATAATAGCAATGTGAGTTTATAACCTTAAACAAGCGATCTGTTACAGGTGGTGTAAAGAAATAGTGTATATAGCTTAATAGACCCCAATTTGAGATTGGAATGTTGTTGTTGTTGATGTGTGAATATGATTTTGAGTTTATGCTTAAAATGAAAATGGGTTGATAAGATAACGTCATCAAATAGTAGTGATCTTTCCTTTCTTTTGCACTTTAACGATAATTCAATAGTAGAATATCACTTGATTAGTTTTTTTAATTAATTTCCTTTTTCCCATTAGAGTATTACGCGTGAGGAAAGTCATTAAGTAAATAATACATGCTTTTTATTTGCACCTTTGGTTATCATCTTTAGTTATTAAATCCAAGAAAAGACCGGAAAAGGAAAAAATTAAAGAAGTTTGTTGCACGTCGCCAATATGTTCATTTTTGTTGGTAATGTGACAAAATTACGTGTAATCTAAAAAAAACAAACGAAAAACACTTGCTCTGGCGCTGCAAACAAAAAAGCAAAGAGGTTATTGTATGCCAATTTCATTTAACATTTAGATCATTGATTAAAAATTGCTTAATCGAATATTACAAGCAATTTTGTCTATATTCATTTCTTTTTCCGAAATAGATCTTTTTGGAGGATGTCGCTGCCCTGGAGTGGTTCTACCTTTATGAACCAACTCTATCCCAAAGGGAAATGAAATTTACAAGAGAGGCCAAATTTCTCCGAGCCTCGTTAAAATACTAATCCCTATGTTCCAATCTATGTGAACTTGTTTGACTGGACACAAAGTTTAAGAGAAAATGAAGACTTTTTGAATTTGTGGTCCTAAATAACTCAAAAAGGGATTCACAATATTTGTGTAGTTATAAAAGCTTCTCACTAAGGATAGAATTGAGAATTTAAGCTAAATTGTTTGGGTCATTCTTTTTGGAATGAACCAAAAAGGAAATATGTTCACATAAACTAAGGGAGGGAGTAGTAAATGAAATTATGACATCCCTTGCCACAATTGCTACATAAATTGCCTTCTGAATTACTCTAATTGGTCCATGTCAAAACAAGACTATTCCTCTTTATCGCTCTCCTGATTAAAACTTTCACAACAAAAATGAGCAGTTTGGTGCATGTTTAACATTATGGCTTGGCCAAAGATCAGAAACAAACCCAGAAAAGCTATCGGGGAGCAAGAATTGACAAATGGTTGTCAGGTGACTTAATTGTTCATATTTACCTGAGAGTTGAATCACATCAAGTATTGAAAATCTAAAATAACTTCTATTTAAACACAATTCAACAAACAGCTAATAATTAATCCACAATAGCAATAATGACATATTACATTCCAACAACTCAGTAAGCAGGGGAAGGATAGAGAATCAAAAACTTAATGGATTTCATAACTTGCAAGGCTGGTAAAAACAACCAACTCTCAAAATGACATATACCATTGGTAGATAACGAACTAAGGATGAATACAAGTAGTAGTTCATTTACTTTCACGTAGAGGGAGAATTGTTAGGAAAATTGCAGACACAGAAACTGGAATAAAGATCTAAAACAGGTCAATTAGCAATGTGAAATTCGAGGTCCCAATGCTTCCAAATTTGTCAAGACTCTCAGCGCTTGCTGCGTTCAAGTGATTTGTTGAAAGGTAAAAAGTGTTTCTTACCCTGGAACGAAAACTCCATACCCTTAGAATCCATCTTAACTTCCCCACCACCAATGGACGTCTTTAGCCATTCATATCCTAATACCATGTCACAATTTGACGACAATGGAAGTAGATACAAATCCACACTACACAGGGCGCCTTTCAGTAACAATTGAAAGTTTTTGCATGCTCTGGAGGTCACAATAACAGTCCCAAAAGGTGTTATAACAGGCCGAGGCTTGATTGGAAATGTGTCACAGCCTAACTTATCCGCAAAGGATTCATCCATAAAATTGTGTGTAGTCCCTCCCAAACCAATTAGGATATTCACTGGTCACTTCCCATAGTACCCAGTCACACAGCAACCTTCGTATGGCTTAGAGTATTCTACTACAGCATCCATAGATATTCTCATGGGTATTTCTTCTTCCTCTGTAGTCACAGGATCTACAGTTGGAATAGCAGCAACATCCTCACCTTCATCTTCGATCAGATACACTTGCTTTTTGTTGCCATGAGCCAATTTTTCATCACAATGTAAACAGGCCTGCCTCTTCTTAGGCTTAGTGGCGGTTAGGGTTTTTCCGCGTCCCTTCATATTCTCCTCCTTAAGGAAATCATCAATAGTAAGAGTAAAAAAAAATAGCAATCCACACAATAGAGCAAATATTACAAATCAGTACAGGAAACTTTTAGGAAAAATCAAATTCTATAGAGGCGAGAGTGAAAAGAGGAGTTTTAGCCGTATAGAGTTTTGTATTGTACCTGAACGGTAGATGAGTTTCCACAGACGGCAGAGGAAGCATTCACTTGAACGAGTCTATGGATTCCTTCAACTCTTGAATCGTTAGATCAGACTTGTCCTGTCTGGCTGAAAGAAAAGAGACCGAAATTGAGAAATTTTATCCGTTTTCTTATTAACAGCTTGGCCCTTTTATACAAAACTCTGTATAGATACCAAAGAATGTAAATAAATATTCGTATACGCTTGTACTAAATCCTATTGGCTATTTGCAAAACCAACTAACGAAAATATTCCTTTACATTGTACTATATACATGTGCTATTCACGTGTGCACCATTCATCTGGAATGTGTATCACTTTAAATGAATGGATGGGGGGAATATTTATTTATATTGTACTATATCCATGTGTATTCACGTATGGCCCATTCATCTCAAATGTGTATCATTTTAAATGAATGGGTGTGAGAAATAGGAATGGGTATAGGAATATTTATTTACTTTGTAGTATATCCATGTGTCATTCACATGTGCACCATTCATCCGAAATTATTATTTTATTCCTTCATCTTCTTCTTTCTCGTTTCCTCATCTTCCTTCATCTTCTTCTTTCTCGTTTCTTCATCTTCCGTTGAATCAATATGAAGGTTTTGATCGTTAACATCCCCCCTCAAGATGGAGGGGAGAGAATGGACCCCCAACTTGCCTAGAATGTGACGATGAGAAACCCCAGATAAGGGTTTTGTGAATAAATCGGCAAGTTGACAGTCGGAAGGAACAAAAGATAGGGAAATTAAACCAGAGAGGAATTGTTGACGGACAAAGTGGCAGTCGAGGTCCACATGCTTCGTTTGCTCATGAAAGACAGGGTTGCGAGCGATGTGTATCGTTACCTGGCTATCGGAATGAATGGGGACTGGTAAGGTAGGCTGTATTGTGAGATCTCCTAAAAGTCGAACAAGTCAAGTGATTTCAGCAGTGACTCGACGCATCGACCGGTATTCAGCCTCGGCAGATGACAAGGAAACTGAAACCTGTTTCTTGGATTTCCAGGAAATAGGTGCACCTCCAAGCGTAATAAAGAACCCACTAACTGACCAGCGAGAATCACGACACGCTGCCAATCAGCATCGCAAAATGCCATTAAATCAAAAGAGGGAGAAGAAGATAGAAGAATTCCCTGGGAAGGATCTGTGCGCAGATATCTCAAGACTCGTTGAGCAGCAAAAAAATGGGAACAACAAGGCTTGTGCATGTATTGACTGAGAGAGAGGACAACAAAGGAAAGGTCAGGCCTAGTGTTCGTTAAATAGTTGAGTTTGGCAACGAGGTGACGATACACACTTGGGTCATCCATTGGTGTTCCTGAATTCGCCTGAAGCTTGATGTAA